CGAGTGCAGGGCCGCGTTAAGGGTCAGTGGCGCCCTGTGCAAACCCAAAAGCAGCGCCCCGAGTGAGGAATGGTTTCTCGAGTGAGGCAATTGCACTTTGCACTCGAGTTGCACATTATATTTTTCCTACAGTTACCAAAAAACAAATAAATTGGTAAGAAACGTGACATATCTTTACACAGAAGTGAACTTTTAATATGACATTTAATGATACAACAGTACAACAGCTGACCAGCTGATTTACAGCCAGTGCGCATACGACCTTGTCTGCATGTTACGCGCTCACTATTTCGTGCATTCACGTTGCAAATCTGGAGTGAAACAAAGTAATTAGAGTGAGACAATGTTAACATTGTCTCACTGATGAGCGAATTGGCCACTTTGTTTTCTCAAATCAGTGAGAGAACATGTACATTAACTGTAGGAAAATAACTATTATTTTATTGTTTTTATATTTTTCCTAATTTGTGAAATGAAATCTGGGTGACAGAGGAATATGGCGGGAATAGCACACCTGTTTTGTCTTTTCAGATCCACGTATTTTCCTTCCATCATGCAAAAATATAGTGACAAAATATGGTAAACATTTACAATATTCCAATTTCGGAATTATTTTCTGTACCTACAGTAATTCAGTGCTACATTATTAACTAAATTTATTATACTGCACAAACTAATTTGCCAAACCAAATTAAGTCAAATAAAGTTTAACATAAAAACTTACCTAATAATAAATCAAACAGTATATTTTAATTTAAGTGATGATGTATTCTTAAGTACATACAAATTCTGGTCATATGTTAAGAAGATTACGAAATCGAGTTTTTAGGTGGACTTTGATCTTCCAAAAACTAATTTTCGACTATCACCAGATTCTTTCCGGGCCCTATACAATCGATAGTTCTTCTCACGAAAGTATATTATTGCATACTAGCAACAGTGCCCGTTGTGGTTTTAAAAATACAAACGGTCTGGTTATGAAATCCATACACCACTTTACTCACTAATATGAATGGTACAGTTTAAGCACATAACGTTAGAATCACACACTTAACATAATGAACACACTTAAAATACAAATGCAAATTGTTAACAACAACATTTAATCAAAGAAAAATTAATTAGATAACAATATAACAATAAGCTGATTATTAACACAGGTTTCGTATGTTTGGATTATGCATACTGGTAAACCAATTATTACCATCTATAAAAATAATTGGTTTTTCTTTTCCGAGTCGGGTTAGCTCTTCTATACGACCGATTTTAATAATTTTGGCCTTAAACTAAAGGTATGGACGTACCGCAGATATGCCATCAAGCATCGGCATTCATTTTGACGCATGTTTCGAGCTACTGTATGCACAAACTGCCTCACTGTACATTTCTTATGGGAGTTAAATTTGTTTTTTTTAGTTCAATGTTTCGCAGGCGGGCGATGGTTTACAGGAGGGCTCTTATACCCACCCGATTTTCATAATTTTGGTCTTGAAATAAGGATATGCAAGCACATACTTGTCATCAAGAATCATCATTAATTTATCTAATGTATTACTTGACGAAAGAATTTTTGTTCACTTCAATTAAAGATTTATATTCCAGCAGTTCTAATTACGTTATACATTTTGGTCTAAAAACCTTAAGTGAAATACCAGCTGTCATGTGAGCTATTGATTATTAGGATCCAACTATACCTAAAGCACATTGCTGAATCACGAATTATGATAATTCGTGATTCAGCAATGTGCTTTAGGTAGTCGGATCTTAATAATCAATAGCTCACATGACAGCTATGAATACAACAATAATTACAATCGTTTTTAGCACCTATCTGCATTCAATGATAGATAAGTAACTCAATTTTTATTTAAGTTATTTTATATGTCTTGGTCTTAAAATACTTCAAAGGCTTTCACTTGAGATATTGATAGTTTTAATCAGTTAAGTTCAAGATACTGTATCGCTCAATCAGAAAATAAAATAGGGTATCTTCAAAGGGTCTGACTTAGGGGAGGTATGATTGAGGCATTAGTTCAAAATTCCTCCGTGAACAGCGCTGTAGTAGAGAGCATTTTGGCAATGAAGGTTTACTAATCGCAAAAATAGTTCTGTTCATAAAATAAAATTATAAATGCCTCAAATTCAATTTTATAATTTGTTATTATAAAACTACTATCATAACCTAACCGAACTAACCAAACTTGCTGATAATGAAATAATATAAAAAAGTTTATTAATAGAAAAAATAATTCTGTTCATTAAATAAAACTAGAAATTGCTCAATTAAAATTTTATAATGACTTTATAATAAAATTAAACTGTCATAACCAAACCAAACCAACCAAACTTGCTGATAATAAAAAAATCTTAGTCAAAAAGTTAAGCAGGATTCGAACACGGAACCCTCAGCGCACCAGTCGGGTACGCTGACCACTAGACCACCGAGGCCGATAGTAAAAATTCGTATTGTTACGGTAATGGCATAGATATGGTAATGGTGATGGTGTTCCCTCAGCTAATGAGAAGCCCACAGCTGTCATCGTAAGCTCATCTATACCCAAGATGCATGGAGTAAAAGAGGTGGGCCAGACAGAGCGCGCCCCTCTCCCCCCCTCGCCTATCGGACTGAGGCAGTGACGTCACTGCAGTCCTCGAGCCACTACTCACAGCCCGTACACAACACTTTTAGATGTTATATTGCGTTGTTTACGCCAGTTTGTACTACGCAATTGTTAAAATTGGTTTTGCTTGGGTTTCAATATATTAATATGTTATTCCTCATTATATTACTACTAAAATATTAGAGCAATTGTTGATTAAATTGATGTCCATTTCTGCAATTGTTGTTATATCACTAAGGATATAAAATTATTATATATTATACTCTGATCCGGTAAATAGCATCTAATTTTATGATGTATATATTTTAAGGATAGCCTACTTAACTGGTTCATGAATATATTAGTAACTAAATTAGATAGGTACCCTTGGAATTTTTAAAATTATTAATTAAATCAAACAAACATTTTTCACTATACAGATATACCAAATAAAAGTAGCTTTTGGTAATGTACAATCATCATTAGATTAGTGTAATTAGGAATGGAGGTTTATATTTTTATGAATGGAAAGAAAACACATTTTAAATAAAACACTTTATTTACAAGGTGTATCTCTCACCATTGGACATGCAATCAGATATAAACATACATTGCGTTATTAGAGTTCTCGAAATCTTTTACTTACTCTTAAATTTAGTACTGCGACGATGACGTTTCTTATAGTAATACCAGAAACAAAAGAACCCTGGGCCGTTTCGAGCCGCGCAGGTTTGAATGGTACGCCACACCTACCGGCGCGAACCACGTGATCTTTTCGTTTCTGCGCAGGTTGTTTTGTTCGTGGTATGTCTATAGTTGATTATTTTTTATTTTTCGTTGCCGTTCATTTGTTTTTGCCTGTTTAAAAAACTTCAATATCATTAAACTCTACTGTTCTTCTTTGAACAAATAGCTCAAAATGGTCTAGTGGTAAACAATTAACTTTATGGCGTATGAGATAATGTCTTAACTTTCTTCACAGGACCATTTATTCATCAAAGCATTTTATATATTTAATTTTCAATTTAAAAAATTCCTTTTCCAAACTCTCAATTTTCATTTAGCCTACATTACGGTGTAGATTGCAAATTTTTTTTGTTTCCCGGGTAAAGTTTTCTGAATTTTCGTTTTGTCAAGCATTCCTTCGCATCACTGCGATAATACTGTTTTCAGAAGATACAAGTTTGATTCTGGGCTCACGAATGTTTAACATTCCCCAAACCCAATAATCATTAAATTAATTCCTTTAAACATCTTCAAAATAAACAAATATACAAATTTTTGAAATCCAAAAATCGTTTCTTTTGCACCTTTCAATAAAGACAAAGCGTATTTTTTTTTTGGCGAATAAAATATGACTCTTATGTCGGATTGAGTTTTAGTCATAGGTAACCGTCATTAAATATAGCTAGAGCAAACCGCATATCTAGCATTTTTATCTCAGAAAGTAAAGTAAAGTTTTCAGAAAGTAAACTCGTATAAAAACACCGAACAAACGTGCACTTACATAAAAGAGAAAATCCTCTTAACACGAAAATAATAAAGTCTAAAATGAAATATATGTATATAGGCCTACAAAAGTAATTAATATTTTTCTCGGGGGAAATCATTAGTATTCTCTGAGAGTATTCTTTGGTCAATGCCATCTATCCAAACAGATTTTTGTGGTCTATTTAATTCCTGTAAAATAGTTTGCAGTATCGTAGTTGACTTTGATTTGTAAGCAACATTTATGATTCTCATATAAAATATTATATAATTGGTTGTTGTTTTTTTTTTGTATCAACAAACCCAAATAAGTTTAACATTAAATTTAATAGAAAAAGAAGAAATTAAAAATGAAAAAGGATGGCGTTTCATTTATAACTAATACCAAAAAGCAGTTGAAGTAACTTTTAAACAGGCAACTTTTTTACCTAGTGCTAAACATATATTTTATTAACTAACCTGGAAAAGGGGATTGTTATATCTTATTCTAAAATTATTCTAAAGTGTATTTATTATTCCAACTGAATCGGTAGACTCCCGCATTTCATCGCTTTCTATGCAACATACAGGCCTAATTGGTTATTTACTATTGTCAAACTGTTCACAATTCATGTTAGTTCAAAATCATAAAAATCATTATTTAGTACACAATGATATTTGAGTCATAAACGAGAAATGCTTCCTCCAAACCAGCTTAAATCGTGTCTGAAAAAGTAGGTTTGTGCGTTTAGCATGTATCTAGCGGCGAGGCAGCCGCGGCCGGGACTGCAGTGACGTCATCGAGCGCAGTCCGCTCTGTCTGGCCCACCTCTTTTACTCCATGCATCTTGATCTATACCTCCCCTGAGTAAATACCATCTTCAAATTCAATCTTCCATCCATTTCCAAAAATTGTATTTCCATTCATTTTTTTAGGTTATGTTATGTTATATGCCTGCATTGAAATTGAATGAATGCTAATAATTTGTATACTTAAATATAATTAATAACATAGTAAGCTTTGCTGTCGATATTAATTTAAAGTAATTTCAAACAGTGCTTGTATGACGGTAACCTAAATAAATCTGATAACTCCGTGAATGCTTGGAGATGGTAGGGTAACTAATAATTTAATATGAATTGTTCAGTATGCCCAGAGAAGATTGTTTCTAAGTATAAGTGTCCTAAATGTAGAATTCCGTAGTAAGTATCTAGAATGATAAGGAATTAGTGTAGGTCAGTATAGTTCTATTTTGTTGTAAGTTATTGTCATGTTATTCGACCAAATGATTTGCCTAGTTTTAAGCTTTAGGCCTAGATAAAAGTGTAAAGGTTAGCATTAGAATGATTGCCAGCATTCTTTACCTGGCCTAGGCTACTGTAGGGCCTACATCATAATATTTTAACTCAAATCAATCTTTATAATCCTAGGCAGGTAATTGTTCCGTAGGCTATATCTAGGCTACACTGGGTAAAAAGTAACTTTATTTTTACACAGAGGATATGCGTCCGTTAGTTACTGTCATAGGCGTCCGGTAGCATTGACAAAAGAATTAAATACAGACCGTCAGCTGTGCTGCGGTTACCATAGATTCTGGCGCACACCGCTTGGAGCACCACGGTAGTTACGGCGTACGCGCTACGTAAATTACAGCGGTGTGCGCCGGAACCTATGGTAACCATGGCAACCGCAGCACGGCTGACAGTCTATATTTCATTCTTTTTGTCTATGCCGGTAGCTACTGTCGAGTTTAGCCTTTAACCTAACCAATCCAACTTGCTTAAGAATTGAAAAAATCAAATGAAGGAAGAAATGGCATTCAAAGCAAGATCTTTAACCCTCCGAGTGTCCATAGTTTAGGCCTTAATGTCCGCCTATTTTTGGCGCATTTGCAAGGTTTTATTAAAACGGATCTGAAAAGCTTAAAACAATGTTAATTCTACTGTTCTATATACCATTTTGTTTGGAAAATCATGGGCTTCAATATCATGTACATAAAACCTAAGGAATATTTGTTTCAAAAAAATTTTTTTTGTAAAAATAAAAACTATTTTGGAAAAATTGAAAAAAAAATAAGTTCGCGCTCAATGAAATTGTATAAATTATAGGCCTATAAATATTTGAAAATAGCCACTTTGTTCTAAATTTTATGAGGATTACAAGGGTATATAATAATATAAGGAAGTAGATTTGCAAATAAATAAGTTATGGGCAAAAAACAGATTTCTGTACATAGCGTTTAGCTAAGAATGCATAGCCTAACCATAGCTAGGAATCTGGCTGATAATTTACATCAATATCACTACCTACTTCTTCAGGATCATCAACCAGCCCTTCAAAATCACTTAAATCTTCTTATAATGCACCACGTATATCACTACTTTTGATTTTTAACACTAAAACAACGATAAACATAATAAAACACATCAGTCATCGGTCCGAGGTTAACTAACCTGTTTACAAATACGCACGTCAGCTGTCTGCTACAATTACGATCGGCTCGGAGAACATAAAGCGCTTAGAGACAGACCTCTGGAGAAAGCTTAGAATATAATGAAAAGAACGATACCAAACTCGATCCAGTTCAATCCGATTTTGTCAGTCATAGAGCCTTCGCCGTAAACAGTGTTCGTGAGTCGCTGCAGCGACGCATGACACTCGGAGGGTTAAGACAAAAAGGGAAGTCTACCAATGGGATTCAAACCAGGTCTTTCATATCAGCCTGCACTCTATCCACTAGGCCTACACCAAGAACACTGATGGCTGTATACATCGTATCGTTGTGGTAATGGCGTTCCGGGCCTCCACAAACTGGTGACATCACTGCCGGACGCCTTATCCACGTCCGGTTACCAGTCGCGTATCCTCTGTATAATTTTTAAATATGTCTACTTGTACAGTTTTATTCACGCTGATTCCAAAAATGCAATCAGTTTTTGTCGGAGAGATTCCTAAGTGGCCGTACGATTAGATAAATACCTAATATCAAGCTTCTTAATAATAATTAGGTACTTAGGCCTGGTTAAATTAAATTTAGGCCTATTTAGATTTGTGGTTTGGGCAAGTCCAAGTTCTAGCGGCGACTATCACTTAAAAAGGAGGAAGGTTTGTGGAGTGGAAACATCAGTTCCAAGCATATGCATTTGCTTGCAAGCATTTTTGATAGCCTGTTATTTCATTGTTTTTCACCTATTATTTCAATTGTACAAAAAACAGTCTGGAGGTAGCATAAATTAATGAGTCAGTTCAATATAACCTGAACTTTACCTTCCTAATCCAACCTAACTACAAAACACTTAAGTTAACCCATTGGGAAAGGAATTAATGTGCTGCCTGAAGGACCCTCGGGCAGCAATAAATTAAACCGAATTTGTAGACTTTTACTTTAACTGTTATAGAAATAAAACCTTAGGGAATAAATTAATAATAATAATTTTGTTCATAGTAGCCTAAAATTGTCTACAAAAAAGTGGTAATTTAATACCTCATCAAAGTGTAAAATTAAAAAAATAGGAACTGATCTTTAGTTAACCTAAAATAGGCAATCTATTTTCCTAATATTTTCAATCATGGTCTAAGGAGCAAGAACCATAGCCACAATATCACCCTCTAAAATCTTAAATCACCCTCATTGATTTTTTACTTTTGGACAGTTTAGAGCTACCTAGGGCGTAGTCCACATCTTACTTGTCGATCAAATCAAATCAAACCTAATTTATTCCATGCAAAAAAAATTACAAAACAAAGAAAACAGTATTCTAAATAGTAGCCTAATGGAACTTCCCCACATAGGCAAAGCCTGTGCGTGGGGAACGAGTTATAATCAGTCTTTAGTGGAAAGAACCTCGTATAAATATCAGACTTAATTCATACCCCGAGGAGAAACACCTGAAATGAAAGTCCAAAGAATTCCACCAAATATGATTGCTCTAATTTAACCCTAGCAGTGGCCGATCGTCGTCTGGTGACGATCTGACGTTGATGCTTAGAATGGCCAAAGTCGTCTGGTGATGATGTGGGCCGAAATTTTTTTAGCGGTAAAAAAAACACGTTATAATCAACTCAGATGAGAATAATATATATAGGCTACCATTCGAAAGATCACATTCTGAACTTTCATTTTATTACATAAACAAACCCTGTAGCAGGTATATAACAATGTCATGACGATTAGAAATCAAATGAATTTTTGGCGCGGCACGACTTTTGCAGCCGACACTTTGGAACTGGCAAAACACGTCTTGTTTGGCATTACCCTGCTCGGGTAATTTTCGTCGTGGGATGTTGCGGGTGGTAGGCCTACCACTGAATAGCCATTTATTTTATCTTCATTGTGGTAGTAATATTTAGAATGAAATATTGATTGCACAACCGGTACGATTTTATGAAAACAGCTGTTTTCAAAATTTTTAACAAATGGCCAATGGTCGTCAGATGACGATGTGGAAAATACAAATTACATACAGTGTAATTTATTATTACTAGTCATATAGTATGTCATTTTGAAGAGGAAGAAATATTGATTCAGAGAGTGGCAGCCCTGCACTCAGGGTTATTTCTGTATGCTCGCATGTAGACGACGGAAGTGAGTCATTACTGCTACAGTCTGTTAGCTGTCTTGTATTCGCCATTGTTTGTTGTTGCCGGTGAGTGTTCGCTCTCGTGTTATCCGCGATTTATTACTAAATACGTTATTAGTTCGTGTTTGGCTTCATTAGTTTTGAAATTTCATGTAGAACTCCAATATACAAAGAACAATTTATTTTAAGTTAAAATAAAAAAAGTTAGGCCTACAGATGTGTGGGACTGTGACAGTAGGTAGGTAAACTTTTTATCAACGGCCAGCCTGGCGAGCAGGTCTGAAGGGTGAGTCGAGTTCCGAGAAGGTTCATAATCGGCTGGGTATCATAGCCAAACGGACGGACTATAATTTTGTCCCTAACACAAATTGATTTTGCAAGGCCAGCGGTTATCCAAGGTTTTAATTTGGTATTTTTTTGAAGAAAACTATTTATTTGAAGTTGCTTTGAGCGTGATATCCTGCAGATCATTAACATATAGCCCGAAACGAGACATTTCATTCTCGACCATAGCAAAACGTGGTACTTTCCTGCTCAAGGGAACAATTCATTATTATCAATGATTTTTTTCGATATGTGGATATTTTATTTTTTGTTTAACAAACTGAAACATAACTTACTTGAACACCTACTAAAAATAAATATTGTTCAGTATCAACAAACTATTAAAAAAATATTGTCAACTTATATTGAAGAAATGAATCTGTTCTAAACTAACTTAAGCCTATTATTAACACAACTAACCAAACTCATTGTAACATTTCAAAATTATGTTTGATACTCCCCACATGGGCCTGCCTTTTCTGTTATCAAATGGAATTTTTAAATGGTACATCAAGTTTAGTTAGTTATGTTAGATTAGTTTAGAACAGTTTCATTTCTTAATCCATAGGCCATAGGTATTTCTAACCACATCTATCTGCCTTTAAAACAATCACCCAACATGAACTCAATAAACTTTTCAAAATCCTTCCCCCAAAATCCTTGTGCGGACTGGACGAAATCCCAAACAAAATCCTAAAGCATTGCAAGAACGAACTAATTCCTCCCTTGACAAATATGATCAACATTTCCATAATACAAGCCACAGTTCCACAAGCCATGAAACAAGCTCTGGTCTACCCCAAATTCAAGAAAGGAGATACCACCCTAACTAAAAACTATAGACCATTTTCAATACTACCGGCCCTATCCAAATCTCTAAAAAAAATAATCAACTTCCAAATAATAACCTTCCTGGAAAACATCCACCTAATAAGTGACAACCAACACGGCTTCAGGGAAAAGAAATCCATAAATACTGCTCTGGCTCAACTGTGCAACACCATAACCAATATATGGGAGGATAGAAAACAGCAAACGGCATATTTTTAGATCTCCAAAAAGTGTTTGACAGCCTAGACCATAACCTACTTCTCCAAAAAATATCAGCCCTGAACATAAACAACAAAGCTCTAGACTGGATAAAAAGCTACCTCCACAATAGACAACAACTCATTGAAATTGAACACCAAACTGGAAACTTAATTACCAAATCTAGATCAAAATTGCAAACCATCACTCAGGGTATCCCCCAAGTTTCATTACTGGGACCCCTACTCTTTCTGATCTAAATAGACACCTTCCCCACCCTCCTACCAGCAGATAATAAACGTATAAGTTTACTGACGACACATCCATTTTAGTCCTGGGCATGCCAACACCCAATCTAACAGAAAACAACAGTAGACACAGCAAAAGAAATTTGCAATAGCCTTAATCTCCGAATCAACGAATCTAAAATTGTCTGCATGAAATTCATCCCAACATACCCTCAGCTGAAGAAGACATGCACACAACAAATGCCAACCCCACAACCAAATTCCTTGGCATCACTCTTGACCAGCAACTAAACTGGCACCCCCACTTGGAAAAGTTCCAGCAAAAACTCTCATCAGCTATCTATGCCCTTAGAAAACTCAGAGGAATTAACTAACGAAGAAACTACTAAGATGGCTTACCATGGAATCTTCGCTTCACACCTGAAATTCTGCTTAATTGCATGGGAAAGTGCCAGTGACAGTCAACTAAAAGAAGTACAACTAAACAAAACCAACAAAACCCCCGCTGCAATGGGAGCAAAACTCTAAAACCTACTGCCACAACATCTCAAAACAATAAACAACACACAAAAATTCACTTTTGCGCTAAAAAATTATCTCCTCCAAAGACCACACTACACCATCAAAGAATTCTATGGAGACTACAACTGCCACATAGGGCTATCATAAGAAGTTAAAAAAGAAGAAACTGACGATTCTCCAGTTTCTACGACTGTGATGAACTAGGCCAGGCTATAACTTATATTATTTTTGCCTAAACAAGATCAGTTGTCAATTTGTAGGCTAATCAGAAGGAATATAAATCGTAAAGGAAAACAAAAATATCGATAATTTAAACAAATTATCGATAATAATGAATGTTCCCTTTAACAGGAAAGTCTGTAAATGCTACTGTGGAACCACAAATTTGCTAGTGACGCAACTTTTTGTCAGATTTCTAGGGAAACACTTTTGAGCTGCGTCCTATTTTAACCACGCTATTCCTGATTACGCTGCGTTCTTTAGCTTAACCGGGTAGCACGCAGCAAAGTTACTTAAGTTAGAGGAAAATGCACCTTAAAGGTATTCTATCACAAAAAGTTTACACATTGACTGTGCCAAAATCTGAAACAATCTTGTGTTTTCTGTACCAGTAGATGACAGGCCTGGAAATCATTAGGCTACCTATTAATCTAAAGTTAAAAAAGTAAGTTGAAATAACATCTATATTCATAATTATACATAATTTACACATATATAATATAGGCCTAAATCAAGTAAGGAGACTTAAATAAAGTAAATTAAAATTATGTTTTAAATGAAGTTGTTATCAACATTGCAACTTATCCAAATCCAGAAGAAATCATAAGATGAGAGTCTTCAACAGGTATGGTGAACTTTGTACCTCCACAACATTTCAAACACAGAGCTGACCAAAGGGTATGTTGCAATAAAAATTGAGGAAAACATCTGAAGTTTGTTTTTAGATATTGAACACAAAGGAAGTTAAACATGAACTCTTACTATTAGAGTTAGATCTGTGAATTCTCAACTACTAGCTTGCTGTAAACTACTCGTACATTTACCTTAGATGTGTATATTTGTTCTAGTTGCTCATTAGCTTGTTGGAAGAACCACAAAGCTGAAGATTGTGTTCCTGAAGTCAAACCTCCTGCAGTAGTTAACGACAAACAATCAAATCTTTATTATTTTCCAACTGAAGACACTGTGCCTTTGGAGAAACTGCAATTGCTCGGTAAGTTTTAGTGAATGAATGAATGAATGAAATAATATTTTATTTCCCATAAATTATATACATATAATTACATTGTATTTTTTTTTACTTAAATATAATACAGCAAACATTACTAACTGGATAACAAAAGAAAAATTATATTCTGTAGAAATAAAACGAAAAATGTGCAAAAAAAAATACCTTCTATAACAAAGGAAAAAGTCTACATAGGCAGGGCCTGTGCGTAGACTCGAGTTGCGAAAAAGGTTAATTTAGATGGGAGGTAGAAAAATGTATAGGAAAACAAAAAATAATTCGTATAATTCTAAATTTTAAAAAATTTTCTTGCTTGAAACTGAATGTTTAGTTTTCTTCTGTGAATTAAATTGACGATAAAAAACTCTTTGTACAAAACTGAGAAAATTTATAAAAATCTGGTGAAGATTGGAGAGGAGAGGTGGAGTGTGGTGTGTTGGTCAGTCAGTGAAGGTGTTGTATCAGTGATTGTGTAGGGTCAACGGTCAGGTCCGCCCAACGCGATAACGGCCTTGGTGTCCTCTGTACTCAGTCCAACAAGCCACCCCACAACATGCTTCTTAAATAGAGAGAGAGAGGGTGAATTTAAAATGTTGACATTTTGATATCTGTTACACATGTTACGATAAATGATTTGGGTTAAGTGAAAGCAATTCGTATGTGAAAATGATTTTAAAGTTTGTGGAACATTTATACCAACATTTCGAGAAAAGCGCGTATTGTGGGGATGAGTAATTTTTATAAAAATATTATCAAAGTTTTTGTACATGTGAACTAAAATAAATTTTAAAAATAACTGTCTGACTGTCAAAACTCCCGTTTCTACAAAAAGGTCGTCAGTTGAATATCTAAAGTGTTTTTTAAAAGCAACTTTAAGTATTGTTTTCTGTACAACAAAAACAGGTTGCAAGATAGTTTTGTAAGCACCACCAAAAGCAATAATTCCAAAAGATAACAAAGATTGAACATATGCATAGTATGCTATTTTAATTTCTTGCTCTTCGAGTATATCACTAAGTTGCCTAAATGCATAAATATATTTGCGTAATTTATTTGTTAGATATTCAACATGTTCCGACCACTTCATCTTTGAATCAAAAACAATACCAAGATATTTGTATGAATCAACTTTTTCAATTTTGCTACAAGAACAAGAGTTATTGGAATGATTTCCACAGACATGAATAGATAGGTTTTCAAGTTTGTATTCGGTTATCTTACGTAATGAAATTGGCATGAATTTGGTTTTAGATATATTAAGAGACAATACATTTTGGTCAAGCCATTTTTTTAGCAAACAGAGGTCTGATTCAGCCTTGTTTTTAACCTCCTCCCAGGATGATCCGGTTACAAATATTAGAGTATCATCAGCAAATAATGTTAATTTTCCTTCTGTTTGAATTTTAGAAATATTATTAATATAAAGGAGGAACAAAACAGGACCAAGGGTCGAACCCTGGACCACACCATACTCCACTGGCAAAACATCGCTTGACACTTCACCAAGTGCGACAGTTTGTAGCCTATCAGAGAGGTAGCTGCTGAACCAAGCGAGCGAGGTGCCGCGCACCCCTACAAGCTCAAGTTTACGCAACAATCGACTTCTGTCCACTGAGTCAAAAGCTTTTTTCAAGTCTAAAAATATTAACATACTTCGTTTGTTGCCATAAATTGCCTCGTTAATGCATTTATTAATATCGAATAAAGCATCAGATATGTTTTTGTCACTCCTGAAACCATACTGATTTTCACTTAATATATTGCACTGGTGGAGGTAAAAAACAAGTTGGTCTTTAGATATTTTCTCTAATAGCTTAGCGATTACACTTAACAAAGAAATCGGACGATAGTTATTCATGTCTGTGAAATCATTGGATTTGTGCAATGGAATGATCTTGGCCAATTTCAGCTCGTTTGGGAATATACCAGATGTCAGGCTAAGATTGACAATGTGCAGAAGAGGAGCACATAGAGAGTGGATGTTTTCTTTAAGAACAAAGGCCGAGATACCATCATGGCCAGGTGCAGACCCTCCGCGCAGACCCTGGACGTAACGTTCTATGTCAGCGTGTGTGACCGTGTTGAATGTGAAATTCGTGTCGAGTGAGAAGTCAGCGTCGTTTACGACTGGAGCCCCAGCTGAATTGATTGAGTTGGCCAATTTAGAACCCACTGATGTAAAGAACTTATTAAAATCATTAGCTATTTTAGTCTTCATGTTCGCATTATTCGAAGAACCAGGTAACACTTTTTCAAATGGAAAATGGTCCTTAGAGCAATTCCTGCCCGATATTTCACTAACTATGCCCCAAAATAATTTTGGATCCCTGTTAGATTCTGAAATTATACCCCTATAATAATTTTTCTTTGCGAGTTTGATGTTTTGATTTAAAGATAGGCGCAGGGCCCTGAATCTATCTAGAAGTAATATATTAAAAGGTTGGGTTTTGATCTTTTTACTTAACTTGTCTCGTTTTCGAATTAATTTAATGAGGTCTACGGTAATCCAAGGCTTTATTTTTTTAAATCTTGTTGAGTGATTTTTAATTGTTTTTGTTGAGGCTTCGATACAGTTACTCAATGTCGAACAAAAACATGCTGTGCACTGATTAACCTCGTGATTACTCATGATAGGACTCCAGTCAGTTTTTGTAATATGTTCAGTTAGTGAAGCGTGATCAATGTAGGTGCGAAATTGGTTCTGTGGCAGAGTGTCAGTTCCAGTTCCTGTAGGCGACTGAATGGTGTTAGTGATTTTAAGAGCAGTGCTGTAATGGTCAGTGATGTGAGATTGTATGACAGCAGATTTGACTCGTCTCATATCATGAAAACAGACAAAAATGTGGTCAATACAAGTAGATGTGTTGTGTGTCACTCTGGTCGGCTTGTCGATGCACTGGACTAGTCCAGCACCTAGTAAAGTGTTTAAGTAAAGATCCGTTATTGCATCAGTTTTGTGTAAGTCGATGTTTATATCACCCAAAAAGATACAGTTAGTATCTTTACTTATGCGATTATAATAGCATTCCAAACCATTTATAAAATGATCAATTTCACTATCAAACGTCCTGTAAACAGCTAACAGATTGAATATTTTATTAAAAAGACTGAATTCCAAAGAAATACCAAAAACTCTGTTGATGTTAACTTGAGTTACTGTAGCAGACAGACGTTTGTTGATGAAAACAATGACTCCGTCATTTTTGTTGTTTTGTGTATCTGTCATTGTACAGTCAAACCCGTCCAAGTGACCCACCTCCCCCCCGCTCAACCAACACTCTGATAAGACGATGATATCTAGATTAGCATTCAAAGACTGTAAATACACTGATAAATCGTCAAAATTTTTTGAGAAACTTCTTATGTTTGTGTGAAATATTTTAAGACTACTATTTATTGGGGTTTCATTGAAAAATCTTTCGCTTTCAAAAACATTATCCAGCTCCAAGCAAGAATCGTATTCAAAAGGTGTATTTTCATCTGTGTTGCCAATCATCGTCCCGCATAGGCCCTCCTGCCCGTGCCTATCCTAATAACTTAAAATTAAATATTTACATAAATGAAATTAAATGATGCAATTCTTATTCAAACCTTACAAATCAAACTATTTAAAATTACTAGAATGAGATATTATAAGAGTTAATACACAAAATGTTTACTATAATTCCTTGTTTTACCTCAATACATTAAAATACATAAATGTCTTTTGGAAATAAATTAATAAAATTCTTATGGAATGGATTAAATTAAAATAATAGCCTAGTATTTTGGTGTAATAAATTAAATAACTAATGGACCTTACTAGCAGCCCTTGCATCTCAATTAAATAATGGATAATAATTCAACTAATTTTACATGCAAAAAAAAACATGCTATTATAAAGATTGGACTGAGGTAACAAATAATTTAATTTAATATTTCACTGCTTTGTCTCCATGCAATTGTTTAACACATGATAACTAGATTATTTGCTTTAAAAATAAACAAATAAAATTTTTAGTATTGCTATGAGTTGAATGAGAGTTGGTAAACCCATTGGCTTTGTGTCATGGAAAAGTTCCATAATGAGTACAATGTCAACTAAATTAATAGTATTGTCTAAAGAATATGAATATGTCTTTTAAATATGAATAAAAATGTTAAGACATAAAATGAAAGTAATAACTGAGGTAGGCCTACAGTGTAAAAAATGTGATTATATAAAATGTAATTAATCACATTTTTTACATTAATTACATTTTATAGCCTTGCACTTTTTGTTGCCCGTCTGCGGTGTTGCCACTTTTGTCTTGGTGGGGCCTTGAATTAGAGGAGGCTACTATTATGTTGTCCATGTCATAAAAATATCAATATGAATATAGTTGTTGTGTTATTACTAGGGGTCTCAATCCCAGGCCTTCAATCCGATTTCGGGGTTCGTCTCAGCTGATCCCGGGATTCCCGGGATCAATCCGGGGATTATATTATTTTATGATTTTAACTGTTTAGCCATTTTAAATGAGCGTGAAGTCCCCTAGTTGAGTCCTCTAATGTTTTAAACTGGCCTTAACAGTGTTACACTGTGCAATTTTGCCGTGTTCTAAGTAAAGATATATCACTACACAGAACTCTCATCATCTGTCTTTCTAACTTAGGCCTATAGTGTATAAATGAAATGCTCTTTAATTAAATAAACACATTAACAAAATGACGAGCAACTGCACTTGCATGTGGTACATGTCACGCTAATTGGAAACTAAATAAATCCAAATTTAAAGATAAAAAGATAATGTGGGAAGAATCATGAGTTGCAGCCAGTGGCGTAGCAGATTTTTTTGGGCCCCCCTGCAAACTTTTATTTTTTTGGGCCTCCCTTCAAACTTACTTTTTGGGCCCCCCTCCCATGAGTTATTTTTAGCCCATCGATACAACATAATCAAACACCCTTCCCCCTCACCACTGCGGTTTTTTGGACCACCTCGGTATAGTGATCAAATAGTTGTTGC